CAGGCAAAGCAGGTGCTTCAGTAGAAGGAGCCCTCAGGGAGGTGAGTGCCAGGAGGAGCCAAGCACAAGGCAGGGCACCGGGTTTTAGAGAGAGGATCACAAAGGGTGGCATGGGGACTGATTAGCTTGAGCTGCTGATCGGGCTGGGAACCTAGTCAGACCTCATCCCTTTCTAGATGAGATGTCTAAAGGCTATAGAGGTGAAGGCTGTGGCCTGGGCTACATCTGGGTCATTTAGATCGAATCTGGGCATTGTTAGTTATGGTGGAGAACTGTGAGTGGCCCATGAGGTTGAGCTCAAGGTGTGCACTCCTGGGAAGCAAGATGAGTGGTGGCAGGCCATGAATGTGAGGACTCTGGAACAGGACAGTGGGCTATCTTTATAAAACTTCAGAAATGAAGAGTCCAGAAGAAAAGTCACTGAATTTCCACTGGGTAGAAGGGATTTCAATAAATCCTAGGTTGAGAGTGAGCACAGGCAGGGAAGAACTGGCATAAGAGGAGGAAGATTCTTCTATAGGAATAGAAGGGAGAGGGGAGTGAAGTCATGATGACTGAACTGTGAGGGTCTTGAAGGCCTTGCTGAGGTCACATGGTCACAGTGCCTTGATTGGAGGCCAAGAAAGGCATGGCTGGTGAGGTAGAGAGAGCAAAGGGGCAAGAATGAGCTACGATCTGCTGACTCCCTTGACTCCCTTGTACCCATGGCATGCCCATGCCACAGGTGTGCCTCACATGTGCACAGCACATAGGTAAAGCATGTATACACACACTCTGCCTCAGTCTTTGGGCTGCTATAACAAAATGTCGTAGACTGGATGGTTTGTAACAATAGACATCGATTTCTCACAGTTTTGAGAAGTTCAAGATCCAGCTGCTGGCAGGTTCAGTGTTTTGTGAGGGCATGCTCCTCACACAGTGTTTTCTGTGTATTCATATGGCAAAGGAGGGAGGGAATCCCTTTAAGGATTCTTTATTAAAGATGCAAATCATCTCATTCATGACATGCCATCCTTATCATCAAATCACACTGCCAACCCCCACCTTCTGGTACTATCCCATTGAAGCTAGGCCTGGACACGTGAATTTGGGGAGAATACAAAATTTTAGACACATGCACACTGCATGTATGTGTGATCTCTTTCCTGAAGATACAGTTAGTAGGCAGTGGGGTCCACAAGAGGGTGGTGAGGTATGACTCACCATATCTGGGCTGATTGAGGCTGGCAAGGATGGTGGACATTGTCACCCATATACAGTAGCAATGCTCTTTGCATCACATTTTGCAGATCAGTGTGAATGCTTACAGTGTGATAGGACTGACTGCAGGAAGTGTGAAAGAATGGCTGTCTTTTGGGGGAGATGGTGGCCTTGCAAGTCAAGGCCCAAGCACCTAGCACCATCTCTGCTTTGGCTATGACTTTGGGGACCCATTCTCCAGCTCCTTTTTGTCAGGTACCAGATGCCTGCTTTGTGTACATGTTTTCTGGAAAAGAGATTGAGGTCAGCATGTATGACCCATTAAGTTATAAATCCATTGCTGGTTTGGGGTTTTACCTTCTTGGACAAAAACCTTTTATGTTAAAACTTTTGTTTCCTTTTATTTACTATTTCTCATACATGCTACTAGCTATTCTAAACCCAAGATTGTCCCCAAATCTTTGGTTTTTAAAAACAAACTGAAGAAGCTTAAAGTATAACTCAGTGATTTGAGTGCTTACATAGCACTTGAGCATGCAGAAAACCCTGGGTTCAACCCCTAGCATCAAAATAATAAAAGGAAGGAAAGGGGACATTTTGTTTTGAATGGTGAGGCTTCAGATTGATAAAGTAGGCCAAGTCTTGTGCAGCCATGAGCCTTGCTTCTGTTTCTGCTCCTGATTCCCAAGATGATGGTGGCTCCTGGTGACACCACCAACAGAACCCATTTCTGCAGGTGACTGGTTCCTGGCTTGCCCCATTTACCAGCAAAAGCTGCTGTGTCTCCAAGGAGACATAGCACCCAGTAGGGTGTGGGGCCTGTTCTGTGCTTTTCTTTTTCCTCTTAAGAGCCTTGTTATCCAGCTCATTGGGAGTGGAGTGGGAGCTTCAGTGAGACCTGCTCCATAATCTGCAGCCTGGCTGCTGCTGACTCACTGTCTCACTCCCACCGTGGCCGCTGAAGCACTGGTACTCATCCCCGCCCCCTGCCTCCCCAGCCTGCAGCTGCTGGAGTGGCCTTGGACTTGCTGGGTGGGGCTCACAGCCACCTGCACTTGACAGGACACATTTTTACATACTGTCTGCTAGAAATAATCAACTTTATTTAAAGAGAATGTGGATTCAGAGTGCTAAAAAAAGCTATCAGCAACTTTCTAGGGCTGTTTTAGGAGCAGTTTTCCTGCCTACTCTGAAGGAAGCTGTTGGTGCCATTCAAGGGGAGCCAGGGTCAGCACTGTGAAGACAACAGTGGGAGGATGGGCCTGCAAATCCCCTCATTGGGAACACAGAGCATTTTGGAGCCAGGTGTGGGGACAGGCTGCGACTACAGCCCATCTCTAAAGAAGTGAGTCCACCTGACATCACTGATGTCCAAGAGTTCAGGCTCTTCCCACTTTCAAAAAGTCTTTGTGCTTATTCTTGGATCTCTGACAAGTACTAGGATCATGTTGGTTTTTATTGTATTGTGGAAGGACATTTATTTATGTTGTCTTTGTTTTGATGATTTTCACATGGTAACATGGGCAGGACTGTCAATGGAGGGGTATCTCTTTCCCCCAGCCTTTCATCTGTAGAGTTGGCCACTGCTGTCGCTGCCCCTCACCCCCATTTTTTTCCAGAGATCCTATTCTACATCTGTGTCAGGTATGAACTACTGCCATTGGAGCTTCCATGGGAGCTCCATGTGGCAGATTCATTTAGGAGGGTCCTGTGGAAACTTGGTGACCTGGCAAGTCCTTGCTGTCCCTGGCTTCTCTGTGCTCCATTCCAGGTGACTTGGGGGCTGGATTGAAGCTGCTGCCCTGGCCCTGGGAAGGCCACTGGTTACGTCATTGTTCTCCATACTTTTAAAAAGTAGCTATTTTTCTCTTGGTTCTTGAGATGTTTACACATGGTAGGGAATTTGAGTGGTACCTAAGGAAGCAAAGAGGTCAGTTTCCTTGTCATTGTACTATCAGTGATAACTAGAGGGATCAAACCTGCTTTCTTCCAGTTTTTTAAAAGTTTATGCATAAATACATACTTCCTCTTCCAGGATGCTGGGGTCATATCATATGTAGAAGTTGTATATCCTTTTTTCAGTTTCATGTTGTGTTAAAAGCTTTCTCTAATGATTAAATAGTCTTTGAAGATACTTTACTCATTGTATAAACGTTTTCTTTGTGTTGGTGCCTTCATCTTGCTCTGTTTTGTCAAGTCACTGAGCCATGTGTGCTCCACGTGGCTCTCAGTTCTCTTGTGCTATTTCTGTGCCACACAGGCAGTTTCAGGTTATTGCCCATTCTGTTTGGTCAGTAACTGGTCTTGACAGTATTGAGTACTAAAAGGTCTGAATATTACCTTGGCAGAAGCTAATTTCCTAAGCCACACCGTTTGCTCATGCTGTCACAAAAAAGTACTACCAATTGATGACTTAACAGACAGTGATGCTGACATTATTCTGTGACTCAAATCTGAGATGAGAGTGGGCTGGGTCTCTGTTCCTGAAGGGTGTAGGGGAGGATCCTTCTGGCCCCGTTCAGCTTTGGGTATAGGCCCATAATAGTTCCTATCACCCCAATCTCAGCATTTTCATATAGCCTTCTCTACATCTTGTTCCTGGGTAAGTCTGTGTCCAGAGTCTCCCCTTTAAGAACAGTGGTGATAGGGCCTACCTTAATGGTTTGATTGTAACAATTATTTTTGAAACCCCAGGACTTAAGACTCCATTTGGGAGGACACAAGTCAGCCCTCAGCAGCTATCAGGTATCCAGTCCAGAGAATTCAGGCCATGTTAGAGGTCCATTCTTGTTCATATTTGGAGTCAAGGTGTACCTATAGTAGGTAAATATATTATCTCAAAACTTAAGTCAGAAAAAGTGTGTCCTCTTTAATCAAGTCTTACCTCAGCCTGATTTTGTTCCTATATCATGACAAATATAGACAGACACAGCTTTGTGTTTTCTAGAGTGAGTGGAATGTACATGCATTGTGGGCTGTGGGGCTTCCCGCCTGCCAGGGTTTGTCTTTGAGTAGTCTGAAGAAGATTACTGGGTCACACCCACTTCAGAATGTTTTACTGCCTCCTCCGTGACAGACTTTTTTCTGTGAATTAGATGTTCAACTCATGTAGTGGACTTGTGAGTCAAAACTCATTTTAAAAGGTGTTTATATAATTAACTTTGCTAAATTGTATGACAGGTTTTGTATTTTATTTTCAAAATCCTCTTCTTGACTAGCACTTTTTTTGCATCTGTGTTGGGCTTTTAATGGAGGCGTATAATAAGATTTGGTTGACTAGATTTTTTAGGGCATCTCATTAAATGGATTGTTTACATCTTACTAATGATGTGTACAATTTTAATGCAGTCCTTTTGGCTTTGATTTGCTTACTAGGAGAAAATAGAGGCTACGGGTTGGGTTAGGATTGACATCTAGCAGCTGCAGAATGGAGTTGTTTGCCCAGCAGTTCATCAGATCCCAGCACTCTTAAGCAGGGTTTTATTAGTGAAAGTGCCTGACTGGTCAGTAGGCCTGGTTCTGAACACTGGCAGTGGCAAGCAGGTCTGTACGTGGGCTTTTCACCATCGCTTTTCCCTTACTCTGTGGTTTCCTGGGAGACCATGCAGGAGAGTTACAAAGAAATTGCCCCCAAAGAGGAACTTTCCCTGATACAAAAGCCCATTCGTTTTTTTTTTTTCCTTTTTTTAAATTTGAGTTTATCACTCATCGGGACACAGGAGTAGCAATGCCAGGCTGCCCGTGGGACTTCTCTGCTCAAATATGTTTGGCTGCATCTCACATTTCTTGTTCTTTCTCAGGATTCAGGAGCAGTTTCAGAAAAACCCTGACAGTTACAATGGTGCCATCCGAGAGAACTACACCTGGTCGCAAGACTACACTGACCTGGAGGTCAAGGTCCCAGTGCCCAAGAATGTGGTGAAGGGGAAGCAGGTAATAGCCCAGGGGTGCGGATGTCACTGCAGCCTGTCTGAGCTCTAGACAGGGAGCTGGCATGACTGAAGGAGGGTTGGGATTAGCTTTTCAACATGAGACCATGTCCCCAGGAGGGAGCTGCCTCTGCCATCCTTACCCTTCCTTCCTTCTACCTGTGTGTTCCTTTCACCTGGTCTGCAGGAGTCTCACTGGGGACAGTGAGCTTTGTTCTTAGTCTAAACAGCTGCAATCACAAGAGAAAAGCCCCCATATTTGATGTCCTCGCTCCTTACTACACAATGCCACTGGCCCTCTCAGGGCAACTTCTTGGATAGCCAACTTCTTGGATTTTCAAGGGCAGATTCAAATATTACCTTGGTGAAGTTTATGTTTTTCTTAAAGATTGAGTCTGCCTTCAGTTTCCCCAAGAAAAGTCCAGTTAGCTGAAACCAGTGAGGGCTCTGGTGTTTTCAGATGGTGGTTCTCTCATCAGTTTGGCCCAACACCCCACCCAAAATGGGGCAGCAGAATGGAGGCGACAAAGCCTCCCTGTGTGCTGTGGCTTTTGTCTTGGCGGTAACCACCTGTGATTTAGCCAAGGGTTAGTGAGAGGGAGAAAGGGAGAGAGCATGTATGTATGCTTAGGTGCTCTTAGACACTGAAACCCTCTGAGGGCAGGGAGATGACAGCACAGGAAGCAAGGATAGGCCCAGCCCCTCCCCATCTTCATCCCTTGCTGTCTGCTCACTTTCTCCTGCCCCCTGTTGTTGCTGGTTTCACATAGGAGACGTGTGCTGAAAGCAAGCTTTTCTGTCTCCAAACTTCCTTTCTGATGTTGGCTGAGGGTCCTAGAGGGCATCCCGTTTTTGCCAGGACCTTGGTGTCACTTGATGTACCTTGTCGGTTCTCATGCTCAGTGCTTGGTGATGAACAAAGCTGCTCCCACCACAAATACTCCCTGTAACTCCCCTGCCCCTGAGAGTCAGATCATGCATGATACCCTTTGCAATCTCAGCCAGTCCTGAGGTAAAGCAAAGAAGTCTAGGGGCTGAGGAGAAGGCTCATTGGGTAAGAATCCTCTGTAGCAAGCATGAGGACTCAAGGTCAAATGAAAAGACTGAGCATTGCTGTGCATGCCAGTAACGCCAGCACTGTGGAGCAGAGACAGAAGGAATGCTGGGGCTTGCAGGCCACCAGTTTACCTCTTGGTTTAGTGAGATACCTCGTCTCAAAGGAATAAAGCAGAGAGTGATAGAGCAGGACACCTGAGATCTTCTCACCCCCATGTACGTGGATGAGCATACACAAGCACACATACACACTCACACTCCCAAAGTCCAGACTACAGTGACCAAATAAATGTCCTGGCTTGTGCCCTGTGGTTCTTCCACAGGGCAGGAGCTGTGTTAGGGGTAGCTATAGCTGTGACATTCCCAACTCAGGTTGCTTTCTGAAACTTCTGTCAAGTACATTGGAGTAGAATTGAATTTTTTAGAGAGAGAGAGGTGTTTGTTCAGGGAACCTTGGTAGAAATAACATTATTGTAGATTGTTGTAAATAGATAGGTTTCACTTAAAATAATCTAAAGTAACAGTATTAAAGTTTCTGAACCTGCATTTTAGCCAAGTTTGGCATGTGTCAGAAACTGTCTTTTTTTTTCCCCAGTCTTTTTTAGACAGGGTCTCCCTGTAGACCCAGCTGGCCTGGAGCTCCTAGAGATCCCCCTGCCTCTACCTGCCTGCTGGAATTAAAGGCATGCACTACCACACCTAGCTGAAACCGTATGAGTGTAATGCCTGCCTGTAGATAGATACACTCATGTCCTGAAATGCCTGAGGACAGAAAAAGGCATCGGATCCCCTGGAACTGGAGTTATGAAGTTATTAGCCACCTTGTGGGTGCTGGGAACCAAACCCTGGCCCTCTGCAAGAGTAGCCAGTGCTCTTAACTGCTGAGCCATCTGTCTAGCCCCAGACTTCATCTCATTTTATGGTAGGATTGCTAATAAATTATGAACGAATGTAAAGACTGGAAAAATAGCTCAATTGTAAAGCACTCGCTCCACAAGCATGAGTCCAGATCCCCAGCACCCACATAATAAAAGTACTAGTGTGGCAATGTGTTCCTATAATCCAGTGCTGGGATAGCAGAGACAAAAGGATCCCAGAGACTTGCTGGCTCACCAATGCAGCCGAATTGGCAAGCTCCAGGTTCAGTAAAAGACCCTGTCCCAAAAATAAGGTGGAGAGAAATAGAGGAAGATACCTGATATTGGCCTCTGGTATCCACATTCACTGGCTCCATCAGTTCACAGTGCTTTCTGCATGGTGCTGGTAATAGTAGTGTGTGTGTCTGGCCCACCATGCAGAAAGCACTATGAACTGATGGAGCTAGGAGCCACCCTTGTCTCCTATACAGTGAAAAATTTTCTTTTTCCCTTTAATAGCATTTTTTTCTGTGTTATTCTTATGATACTACAAGCTTCTTTTAAAAATTGGCCTGGGCTGGTGAGATGGCTCAACAGGTAAAGGTACTTGCCTCCAAGCCTGATGACCTGAGTTCAATCCCTGGGTCCCACATGGTAGAGAGAGAGAACTGACTCCTGCAAGTTGTTCTTCAAATACACACTGTGGCATGCACATACCCACACACAAACACACTAGAGAAATAAACATAAAAACTTTTTAAAAATTCTTGGTCTGCTAAATATGAGCCTGAAACTATGAAACTATTAGAGGAAAAGATTAGGGAAAACATTTTAAGATATAGGCACAGGCAAGGATTTTTGAATAAAAACTTCATTCACTAAGGAAATAAGGCCAACAACTGACAAATGGCTTCTCAAACTATTAAAAAACTTCTGTATAGCAAAGAAAGAAATCAGGTGAAGAGACAGCCTACAGAATGGGTGACAGTCTTTGTTAGCTTTATATCTGACAGAGGATTAATATCTAGAATATACAAAGAACTCAAACTAAACATTAAGAAATCAAATAATTCAGTCAATAAATGGGCTAATGATTAAATGAAAAGTCAGTTCTCTAAAGATGGCTAATAAGCATATGCAAAAATACTCTTCACTAGCCATTGGAGAAATGCAAATCAAACTATATTGAGGGACTAGAGAGATGGCTTGGTGGTTAAGAGCAGTGACTGCTCTTGTAGAGGACCTGGGTTCAGTTCCCAGCACCCACATGGTGGCTAACAACCCTCTGTAACTTCAGTTCTAGGGGATCCAATGCCCACTTCTGGTCTCTGCTAGCATTGCATCATATGGGTGCACTCACATGTGGGCAAAACTCATATGTATAAAATAAAAATTAAAAAAAAATTTTTTTAAACAAAAAGTCTCCCCAAACTATGTTGATTCTATCTCACACAGAGTGGCAGTCATTAAGAAAACAACAGCAAATGCTGGTAAGGATGTGGACCAAAGGGAACCTTTTATATACTGATGGTAGGAATGCAGACAGTTATCCAGCACTATGTATGGAGAGTTCTCAAAAAACTAAAAAAAAAAAATATATCTTCCATATGACCAGCTGTACCACTCTTGGGTACTTACCCAAAGGCTCCAAGTCAACATCACAGAGATGCTTACACATCAGTGCTGAATGCAGCGCTACCTACAGAGGTTCTGGAACCAAGCTAGATGTCTTACAACAGAGAAATGGATAAAGAGAATGTGGTACAGATACATTTAATTTTTTTTTTTTTTTTTTAGCCATAAAGAAGGACAAAGTTCTGTTGTTTGGCAGGAAAATGGATACTTCTGGAGATAATTATATTAAGCAAATTAAGCCAGTCTCACTCAGAAAGGCAAATATCATATCTTTTCTCCTATTTGTAGTTCCTGTGTTTTACATAGGTACATAAACTAATATATGTATATGTACATAAAGTGGAAGTGTGAAACTGTCTAGGAGAACAAAGGTTACTGATAAGAATGGTGAGAGGAGGGAAAACAGGCTGCAGTGGAGAATATGTTTAATGCATAGTATATGATAGGTAGAGAATGGGCGGGAGCGAGCGGATGGAGAGCACGAGCGCGGATGGATGAAGGCACCGAGGCACAGATGGAATTCTCAGTGGGACACAGATTTATTTCACACGGGGCACCTTTCCCTCGGGAAAGATGTCCACGAAGGGAAAGATGGAAGGGAACAGAAGGGAAGGGAAGGGGGAAGGGGGAAGGGAAGGAAGGGAAGGATGTCAGGGAAGGAAAGATGTCCAGGAAAGATGA